CCCCCCCCCCCCCCCCCCCTCTCTATATGTGTGTTTGTGTGACACATTATCCTTTACGCCTGTTAACTTGCTTATCTCGACTTGTTAGGTTTTGCCGAATATGGCTTCACTTCCGGATATCAGTGCTGTATCTTATGATATCTGTGGTCTAGTACGAATGTTTCGTTCTGGTTACAAGGCAAAGGTAATTTTTTACTCTTGTTTGTGCATATCTTGTTTTCTTACTGCATATATCTCATGTTTAACGTTTCATTTTTCTAAAACTAGGTAGCTTTGACTCATGGACCCACGGATGTCAAACCGCAAATGAAGCAGACGAGTGAAAGTGGAACTTTCTGTTTTCAGGTTTGATAATGTACCTTACTTCTTTAGATGGATATATTCTTTGTCATTTGTTCTAGATTATGTTTCTATCTTTTGTTATCATCTACATTCCAGGTTCCACCAGGTGAATACCGGCTATCTGCTTTGTCTGCTACACCAAAGACTTCTTCTGAGCTTCTGTTTGTACCAGCTTATGTGGATGTTGCTGTCAAAAGTCCCCTGCTGCCAAATAACCTACTTATGTTTACCAAATGTATCTTTTAGACATCATGAGGCTATATTAACAATCCTAGTATGACCTGAATCTCCAAAGAACTGCATGTTCTATCAGGAGAAAACTTATTTATCTAAAAAAATAAGCACTGTATGTCCTCTTGATGCTGATTTAAAACAAAGGATTTACTGGGTGGAAATAATACTTTCTTCATTTTTACTATAGACAGTCTTAATCTCCCACTTCTTGAATGCATCATTCTCAAGTTGTTTTCTTTCTTTTTGCCCTTTTTTTTGTAAATTGATTCAGGCACGAGTCAATATTCATGGGTCTGTTACTTGCAAGGAGAAATGTGGCCTTTCTGTTTCGGTGACGCTTGTGGGAGTGGCTGGAAACCGTGACAAGAAGACAGTTGCTTTAACTGATGAGAGCAATGAATTTCATGTTTCAGACGTCTTGCCTGGCAAATATAGGCTTGAGGTACGCTTCTGTTCATCTTATAATTTTTTTTTTTCCCGGTTCTCGCATATTTATTATCACCAACGGAAAGTTTCTGATTCTAATAGCTTTTTCAAAAGAATGTGTTAACAATTTGCTTTCATGGAATTCCTATCTTAGGTCAAAAACATTATGCCGGAAGCCGCTTCAAAGGAAGATAGTTGGTGCTGGGAGCGCAGCTCCATTGATGTGGATGTTGGAACTAAGGATGTTGAAGGGATTGAATTTGTCCAAAAAGGTTATTGGATTAATGTTATTTCCACCAATGATGTGGATGCTAGTATGATTCAGCCCAATGGATCACCGACTGATTTGAAAATTAAGGTATTCTCTGCCAAGGTGGTTTCCTCCAATTTTTCTTAATAATCCTAATGATGTTATATGTAAAATCTGTCTGAAATAATTATGCCCATCCTTTGTTGTTGACAACAGAAAGGTTCTCAGAAAATATGTGTTGAATCACCCGGGGAGTACGAACTACATTTTTCCAACTCATGCATTTCCTTTGGGAGTGATTCAGTGAAGATAGATGTGTCAAAACCACAGGTCTGGTTTTAGTCTTGTCTCTATTGTTTCATGATTCATTCATTGATATTTTAGCATCTGTATGCTTCTCTCTCTGTAGCCTGTTCATCTCAAGGCAGAGAAGTACCTCCTCAAAGGTGTGATAAATGTAGAGTTCAGCTCAACTCATATCGAGTCTGAATTGCCTGAGAGTTTCGTTGTTGACATTCAAGACAAGGAAGGAAATGTTGTCGAGAGTATTGCTGCCAAACTTGCATCTGATGAGCATGGCGTTTATGAGTACAATCTATGGGCACATCTTGGAGAAAAGATTAATTTTATTCCTCGGGATTCTAGGTATGTTCCAACTCATTATTTGGCCTGTGATTGAACTGGAAATGTTCCCTGCCTTTAAAATGTCTCGAAAAAGGCAAAAAAATCTTGTTTAAAATCAAGCAACTAGGGTATGATGTGGATGTTAAAATTTAGTGGGTGAAATTGAACTTTTCCTGCAATATCTTTGATTTTATTATGCCTGCCATATGTCTTTAGCTTCAGCTTTAATCTTTTGCAGGAGTGATGTAGAGAAGAAGATCTTGTTTTATCCTAAACAACATCATGTAAGTAAGAACTAAAAGTAATTCAATCCATGGAAGATCCTCTTCTGGCAAAATTGTGACTTTTTATTGCCTTGATAGGCTGTGGTGTCAAATGATGGATGCCAAGCTTCAGTTTCCCCATTCACTGGTCGACTTGGCCTTTACATACAAGGATCAGTTTCTCCTCCTCTTTCTGGTGTTCATATTAAGGTTCTTGCCGCCAAAGATAGCCATATTTCTCTACTCAAGAAAGGTGAATTAGCTGTTGAAACTAGCACTTCAGCAGATGGTTCATTTGTTGCTGGGCCTTTGTACGATGATATAACTTATGATGCCGAGGCTTCAAAGGTTTGTGTATATTTTACTTAATTGTTATTTTTTGTGCGCGATTGTTAGTTTTCCTTGATTATTCATTTATTGCATGTTAGATTTCTGCTGAAAATGGTCTCTTACAATACATTTGTTGTTATCTTGTGTGGTAGTCACTATTCTTTATCTGAAATACCCCCAATCCTTATTACGTGCACAAATGTATCAAATATCCTTCTGTTAATGCGGTTTCTTGTTTTGCAATTTTTGTGAAGCCTGGCTACCACATAAAAAGACTCGGACCATATTCCTTCTCTTGTCAGAAGCTTGGTCAGATCTCCGTCCGTGTATATATCAAGGATGATGAAGAGAATCCAATACCTTCGGTGCTATTATCATTAAGTGGTGATGATGGCTACAGAAATAATTCTGTATCTGGTGTTGGTGGACAATTCATATTTGATAGCTTATTTCCAGGGAATTTCTATTTGCGTCCACTGCTTAAGGTATCTAACCCTACTTAATTTCCTCTGACTTACATGATGCATTTCTTGGAAAAAATGCATGTCTTAAATTGGGCACCATATTTTCATAGTAAAGCACTTGTAATAAATAAATGCAACTGTTGGCACGCTAAAGCATAAATGATAAAATATTTGATAATGATCACCCATACTATGCTCCTGAGATACTAAGTGGAGTATTGACCAGGATTCCAAGATTTTATGGAATACCAGAAGAGTTTGAAAGTAAGATATTTGATCATCTATATTTTCAACAGGAGTATGCTTTTTCACCTTCAACACTCGCTATAGAACTTGGATCTGGGGAATCTAGGGAAGCTGTCTTTGAGGCCACTCGGATTGCCTACAGGTTTTGTCCATTTTGCTTCTCTCTTTGGGGTTTTCACCACTCTTGAAGTTTGTGATGGTAGAATCTTGCAATATCATCGTATCAATACATTTTCTTTTTTATATTTTTCGGTTATGATCAGTTGCCTAGGTCACTTCTTCTAAATTAAGATTCCAATGCAGTCTCATATAGATTTGAGCATATAGGTTGTGGTCATATATATATACTATTTAATTATACTAGGATTTTTTTTTGGATCGGATTAATTTCTATATCAAATTACGTCTTTTTTTTAGACTGAAATAAATTACTTTTTTTTATTTGGAGAGACAGTATCAATACCGGTCTAAAAGAGTACTAAAAATAAAAGTTACCCCCTTGAAAATATCTGAATTTTTGGGTTTTCTATTTTTTATACCAAAATATATACTCAGATAAATGTTACATTACTACTTGTGAATATTCGACCTGTTATTTGTAATTTCGATCTATTAGAATGTTAGATTAACGCAAGAGATAAATTTTGGCATGTCTGGTAGTTTTAGATAACATTCACTTTTAATCTTCCTTAAATAACAGTATGTTGTAAAATCCTTGGCAGTGCTATGGGTAGAGTCGCTCTTGTATCTGGTCAACCAAAAGGTGTTTCAATTGAAGCTCGGTCTGAGTCCAAAGGGTACTATGAGGAGACGACGAGTGATTCGAATGGAAATTATCGTTTGAGAGGACTGCATCCAGATACAACTTACGTAATCAAAGTGGCGAGAAAGAACGGTTCAGGCAACAATGGAATTGAACGCGCATCACCTGATTCGGTTTCTATTAAGGTAGATCTTATGTTCTTCATCTTTTTCTGTTCATTTTTTTATTATTCTTAGCCAGATACCTATTGCTTCATGTATATGGCATAAGGTTGACCATGGGATTTTTGCTGACTCATCGATCTGTTTCACAGGTTGGTTATGAAGATATGAAGGGGCTCGACTTTTTGGTATTCGAACAGCCAGAAACGACAATATTAACTTGCCACGTTGAAGGACAGCGCAGCGATGAACTGAACTCGGATCTGCTTGTGGAGATCAAATCGGCCAGTGGTGATGGATCCAACATAGAGAATGTGTTTCCACTACCACTTTCAAACTTCTTCCAGGTGAAAGGCTTGTCCCGAGGAAAACACCTTCTTCAGCTTAAATCAAGTATTCGTCCAAGCTCCCTCAAACTCGAGTCAGAGATAATAGAGGTGGATCTTGAAACAAACTCCCAAATCCACATTGGCCCTCTTCGGTACACTCTCACGGCAGATCATCAGAGTCAGGTACGGCTGCCTTCACACATTTCCGCCATTGCTAGTAACGTAAAAAGTATGATCCATGTAAATAATGCCCAGAGCTGTTTTTTTTTATAAAAAAAACCCCTCCTTGTGATGTGTATTCCCCAGGATGTGACAGCAGCACCTATTTTGCCACTCGTAGTTGGTGTTTCAGCAATTGCTCTTTTCCTCAGCATTCCCAGGTAAATATACAAATCATCATATACTTCTTCCTTGTAAAACCCTTCAATTTTTTTTTTTTCTAAAAAAAGTTATTAGTATGTCTTACCGTGTGTTCTGTGCAACAAAAAAAAGGTTGAAAGACGTATACCTGGCAGTTGTTGGGACACCGTCCTCGGGTTTTGTTTCTTCAGCCAAGAAGGAACCACGAAAGCCCGTTGCTAGGAAGAAGGCATTCTGAGGATTTCATCACCTTTTAGTTTAGCCGATGTGAGAGGTTCATATCTCCAAAACTCGGGAACTCTCTCTTCCACATTCGGAAACTTGCAAGCTGCTTGCATAGATTGGAGTTTTGTCACAGCAGCTGACTTCTAGTCAGGACAATTGAACGGTTTCATAGGGAACGATTGCTTCGGGTTATCCCTTAGAGAGATGCTTTTACTTAGTTATGGTTATCACTGATTTTTTTTTTGTTCATCGTAATCAGGGTTCTGATTGAATAGCGACATCAGAATTCATCGCAGGTATTTTATTATGTTCTTCTCTAGTGTTATTGCTATTGCTTTGTCTCTCTGTTCAGTGTTTGGGTCCAATGGCATTGACAGAAACTCATCTCAGCAATTTGAACGGTGCTTCTGCCCTTGATGTTTTTGAGACCAAAAGCAAATTAAAATCAAGTGATGTCGTAACCTTTTGTTCTTTTGATGGGGAACAGCCAGTTTGGCAACATTATAAATATTACATCAAATGTATCGAATACTTGGGGATGGAATCATGGTGAGGAGAAGGATCACATTCATTATGGTGTAGTAAATATAATCAAGCCAGAGCCGCGGGAGGAAGCTTCGCAATCCAGCCATCTTGGTCGATGTAGGAAAGGCTCACGAACTTGTTGAGCTCGTCGTCACTCATCTTCTTCAACCACGGCACTCTCCCTGACGTGTCCGCTCCCGCCCCTTTGTTCTGTGCCTCCACGTACGTGATCTTGCCCCTTTCAAGAATCAAGACATTGATTTCAATCTCAAAACACTGGAGAGAGAGAGAGGGAGGGAGGGCATTTGCTTACTCTTGGCCCTTGCGGTCCCAAGAATCCCAGCCAAGGGGAAGAACAGAATCAGAGAGGTCGCATTGGTAGAAGATGACACGTGAATAAGGTCCGTAAGCTCTTCCCAACAGCGCCTTGCCGCCGCTCATAGTGCAGCCTTTGAACACAAATCCATTCTCTTCGCTCTCCCACTGTCGCCCTTGTGCCGTTATGCATCCGCTCTCTTTCTCCGGCACTGGTTCTAACTCCACGTGCAAGTGGCATCCCTATACGTACATGCATGCATGACTTCATTGGTGGTAAGTAAGAAACGGGATATACCCATGCGATGATTCTGAACAAAATCTGCTTCCTGAGAGTATTTTCTCAATCCTCTGGTATATATAATTGAGTCGAATATCCGATGAACTTCCGGATTATAAAAAAGATGTGTGTGGAAACAAATAGTACCTCATAGATGGATTGACCATAACCCCAAATGAAATCGATGCAGCCAGAAATGTAGCAATTTCTGAAGTAATGTCTACCCGAAGCATCCCAAAGGGTGTCTTGTAAACCCATGAACGTACAGTTAATCACTGCATATTTGTCCCCCAATAATCTCGCCGCCACCGCCTGCTTTAATGGTTGTCCCTTTTCTCCAGATAATTTATACGCATTCTATCCATATATAGCCCGTGCAGTGTAATCATCATAGCAAATAATTGATATTCTTATTGTGAATGTTATTCTAACATTCAGGCCTCTATAAAGATCCTGATTAAGTAAAACGAACCTTAAAAATGATATTTTTTAGGACGACGTTGTCGGAAGACGCAGTGAAAGTGGGGCTTGTGTCTGTGCTTGCACAGTCTCCCCATGTAATGGCGGTCTGCACTCTCGCACTTTTACTTGTCTCTCCTTCTATAAATATGCACCCTTTATTGCTCGGGATTTCAACTTTCTCCCTGCATTTCATTATGTTGTCACACTCAATTTTCTTAATCAATGAAATACACATGTACATGTAATCAATCCCATGGATAAATAAACAATTTAATTATGCACGTATATATATATAATACTGGAACATACATGTATGTATGTATGTATGTATGTATGTATGTATGTATGTATGTATGTATGTATGTATGTATGTATGTATGTATGTATGTATGTATGTATGTATGTATGTATGTATGTATGTATGTATGTATGTATGTATGTATGTATGTATGTATGTATGTATGTATGTATGTATGTATGTATGTATGTATGTATGTATGTATGTATGTATGTATGTATGTATGTATGTATGTATGTATGTATGTATGTATGTATGTATGTATGTATGTATGTATGTATGTATGTATGTATGTATGTATGTATGTATGTATGTATGTATGTATGTATGTATGTATGTATGTATGTATGTATGTATGTATGTATGTATGTATGTATGTATGTATGTATGTATGTATGTATGTATGTATGTATGTATGTATGTATGTATGTATGTATGTATGTATGTATGTATGTATGTATGTATGTATGTATGTATGTATGTATGTATGTATGTATGTATGTATGTATGTATGTATGTATGTATGTATGTATGTATGTATGTATGTATGTATGTATGTATGTATGTATGTATGTATGTATGTATGTGTATGATGATGATTTTACTGGTAAGCGCCGTGATAGATGAAAATGCGGATCCATTTGGTGTTGCCGGGAGGGATGGAGTCGATGGCTTGTTGGACTGTGGTGAAATTCGCTTGGCCACGCTTATCCACGCTGATGGTGTAAGCTACTTTGTTTGGGTCTGACTCGTTCAGTTCGCAATCCGATGCCATGCATGCATGCACGTAAAACCCTAACCATACCACCACTAACATCCATGGCTTTCTTGTTTCAAGACTCGCCATTTCTCTGGACCTTTTTGTTTGATTCTCGTGATTTTTCTGGCACTATGTGTTATTCATAATGATGAAATTGAATCTATAAAGAAAAAATTACTGGCCATGTAGAAATTGATTACAGCCTATAGAATACGAAAGATAGTAGTAAAGAATTACATTTCTAGATCTGCTTCCATTTGTGGCCTTTGAGGATACTGGTAGCTCAGATGCATATGCTTGGATTTTTTTTTTCCTTTTTTTTAAACCTATTACAGATTTCATCCCATTTTACGAAGCAGAAAATTTTATTTTTTTCTAATTATGAATCTATTATGTAATGTATACTTTGTATCATCTCCCCAGTAGGTTCAGAGGGTTACAAGATTTAGGAAAACACCATAATGGGTCCGTTTTGTGCATAAAAAGAAAATGCAGACAAAAATTTGATAACGATTGTGAATTGTGGTGACTGGTGAATGATTGACAGTTTTTTATCAAAATTTTATTTTTTAATAAAAAAAGTAATTTTATTTTAATAGGATTACAAAAATTATGCCAATAACCCCAACAGATCATGGGCTCAATCCTCGGGCCTAAATTAGAATTTTTTTAAAAAATGTGGGCCCAAAAAACAATAAACAAATGAATATGTTGGATTGTTATTATAATAAAAGATACAGAAGTGTTTATTTTAGTCACCAGAAGTCTCCACAAGAACAGCATCCGTTCTCGAAGCAATGGAACCGTTTGGAGTCCCTTACGATTATCTTCCTCTCTGCAATCTTCGATATGAACTTAAAGGCCGTATGGCAATCCACGCAAGTCCTCAAGTTCTTGAATACCTTAACGGGCGTTCCCTCCGACGTTGATATGATCGCAAATGCAACCGCCAGCCTCTCACTGTGATAACCCAGATTCTCTTCCTTCTGCTCGTCTTCCACATCGTGCAAGACGAAATTAGTGTCGGGAACGTACCCTTCTTCCTTCATCCTCTTCCACAGTCTGCACAAGTAGTCGTTTATCTCGTCGTATCTCGGATGTGAAGTATCCCCGGCCTTAAAGACGTGAACTTTCCTTTTTATCTCCGTCCAGCTATATCCCGGGCTCTTATTGATCCCTTTCTGGGTCATTTTCTTTCGGAGTTTCTGTACTTCGTCCCACTTCCCGGCTGTGGCATAGATGTTGGCCATTGTCACATACGTAGCTGGGTTTTCGGGTTCTATCTTGAACAGTTCTTGAGCTGCTTCCTCTGCTAGATCGACATTTCCATGAATTCTGCACCCACCAAGCAAAGAAGCCCACAAGAATTCACTCGGTTCCATTGGCATTTTCCTGATGATTTCTTTCGCTTCTTCGAATCTTCCAGTGCGCGCCAATAGATCTACCATGCAATTATAATGACCAACTGTATGTGATAGCCCGTGTTTCTCTGTTATCGAATCAAAATATTCGAGCCCTTTGTCAACCAAACCAGCGTGAACACAAGCAGTAAGCACCTCCACAAACGTGACGTGGTCGGGTTTTGTGCCAGATTTAAGGAGCAACTCAAAGTACTTCAATGCTTCTTCAGGTTGCCCATGCTGAGCATACCCGCCGATCAAGGATGTCCAAGATACTAGATCGGGTTTAGGACATCCTACTAAAACCCGTCTTGCTGTCTCAATGTTACCACATTTCGCGTACATCTGAACAAGAGAGCTCGATGCAAAAGGGCCCTGGTCAAATCCAGTTCTTGTCATGTACCCATGAACTTGCTTCCCTAACTCCCCTGATGCGAGATCAGCACAAGCAGTCAGAACTCCAGCAAATGTGTAATCGTTGGGCTGTACACGAGAACGTATCAAATCCGAGAACAAAGTAAACCCTTCTCGCGATCTTCCATCCTTGAAATACATGTCTATCATCGCGGTCCATGACACAACATCTCTGTCCACCAGCTTATCAAAGATGATCCTTGCTTCATATACATTTCCGCATTTACCATACATATCCATCAAAGCACTCCAAACCACCTCATCTGAATCCAAACCAACTCGTACGATATGCCCATGAATTTCCTTCCCTCCACGGATACAGGGAAGCGCAGCAGCAGCGTCAATGGCGCTGGAAGCTGTAAATATGTTGGGTTTCGAATTCGGGGCCCTTTGCATCAAGCTATACAACACCAATGCCTCCTCGGGCTGATCGCTTTTAGCGTATCCCGAAATCATAGCTGTCCATGAAAAACTATCTCTTTGAGGCATTCCATCAAACAGTTTCCTCGCTTCCTGGAGCAAACCCATCGTTGCATAACCCTTAATCATGGTATTCCAAGAACACAAGTCTCTCGAAGACATTTCGTCGAATAGTTTGCGTGCATCAAGCAAGCTCCCGCATTTCGCATACATGTCGAGAAGACGATTGCAGATAACGACCCCAGGGACGAACCCACATCTCTTAATGTGTTCATGGACCTTCTTACCTTCTTCAAGCGCGCGAATTCGGCAGCAGAATTGGATGAGAGATGAGTAAGTAGAAGCACTTGGCTTCGGGATCCGATCCAGAAGTTGAACAGCCTCTCGCAGCCGCTTCTGCTCGCATAAAACATCTACGGCTTCACAAAACTTCTTCTCTCTACACAATCGATCTACAAGACCGTCTCTCGGGTTCGATTTGAAGAACTTTTTGTCGGGAAACCGCTTCCGGGTATCGATGGGAGGAGCGTAAGAAAAGGAAAACGGTCTCTTGAATCGCAGTCTATACAAACTATTTATCTTCTTCGCATTCATAAGGTTCATCACGACGACAGAAAAAAAAAAAAGAGCAAAACTTTTTCCCCGTTTTCGGCAGACAGTTCCTTTCGCCGGCGGTGAAGAGGAGCTTCGGTCAGTTTTCGTTCTTTCTTTAGAGAGAATAAAAAAAAACAAAAAAAAATCACCTGCTTTATCATTTCCCTTGTAAATTATATTGACTTGCTCCTATGTCATTGTGCTAATTTTAATCTTATAAAATATAAAATCTCTGCATTCTTTCCCCGTGTTAAGCTATTAAAAAAAATAATAATTCGTTTATGTGGATTCATTAAACAGTAATAGAAATTATAGAAGATTTACACAATATCAAAGTTTATAAATTGTGATGTTTTAAATAATACTAGAGTTTTATTTAATTAAATTTTACATAATATCAGAATTTATATATTTTGATGCTTTATATTTGGGCTGTCTTTATTTACTTCATTGCATGGTAATATGTAAAATCTAATATTATGTAATATATTTTTTTATCATATCTAACACAAATTAATAATATCACTGTATATATATATATATATATATATATATATATATATATACATCTAAAAAGTATACAAAACGGGTATTTGTATAAAATCTAAACAGCTGTTATTGCATTACGTACAATTGGAGTACGTGATGGGATATTATCGATTCACATCACAATGGGGATTTTATTGGGGGAAAGTGAAAAACAAGAAAGAACGAAAGAAAAGAATGGAGGAGAGAGATCAAGCGAGGGCTCCGTCAGGAAGGCGAGAGATCCAACCATCTTGGTCGACGAACTGAAGACTGGTAAACCAGTTGAGGTCACTATCGCTCATCTTCTTCATCCACGGCACTCTCTGTGCAGTGTCCGCCCCCGGCCCGCTGTTGTGCGCTTCCACGAACGTGATCGACCACCTATTACATACATATATATATATATATATATATATACACACATATGATGATCAGACCAAACACAAAACAACAACAACAACAACGACGACGACAACGTTGTTACGAATTAAGATTTCGATCGAGAGATGTACTGACTCGTGACCCTTGACATCCCAAGCATCCCAACCTATGGGTTGAACGGATTCAGCGAGTCGATTGTTGAAGAAGATGACACGGGAATAGGGTCTGTAAGCTCTCCCGAGCAAGTTTCTGTCTCCGTAGACGTTGCAGTTTTTGAACACAAACCCAGTCGTCTCCTTGTCCGACTGCCTTCCTTGTGCCGTTATTGTCCCTGTTCTATTGATTGCGTCTTTCAGCGGCTTTAATGTCACTTCAATCGCACACCCCTATACCCAAAACCATGCAATACAATAATGCTCTCCTTCTTTCAATTATATATATATGTATATGTATATACAGAGAGAGAGAGAGAGAGAGAGAGAGAGAGACGTCGAGTAAGGATTGGCCGAAACCCCAGATGAAATCAACGGCACCGGAAATATAACATTGTTGGAAGTAATGTCGACCCTGGGCGTCCCAAATGGTGTCTTGTAACCCTATGAACGTGCATCTGTAAAATGAATATTTGTCTCCTTGCAGGCTCGCCGCTAGTGCCTGTACTAGTTCCGCATCCGGGTTGTCGAAATTATACGTATTCTGTCCACCCACAAATTTCATATTATGTATTATTCACTTATATATATATACAAGTGATGGAGAGTGAGTGTGAGTGAAAACCTTAAAGGTAATGTACTTGACGGCGATGTTGTTGGAATAGGCAGTGAAGGTGGAGCATGTGGTTACCGCTCCGTGGTCTGCCCATGCGATTACTGTATCCCGCTCGTCTTCCCCTTCCATGAATATGCACCCTTTTTCCTTCGGAATCGTCACTTTCTCCCTTTTGTTTTCTCAAATATATATATATATATATATCGATCGAATATGTTACGTAAAAAATGAAATATGTCGAGATGGAGAACGCGTGTAACGATATTACGTGTATACGTACGGGGAATTAATCTTACCGATAGATGCCCTTTTTGATGTAGATGTGGACCCACCATTTGTTGCCGGCGGGGATGGAGTCGATGGCGCTTTGGACGGTCCCGTACTCTTGGTTTTCCCCAACAGTGATTGACGTAGTGCCTTTCAAACACTCGTCACCGGCCATGCATGCATTCACGTACACGCTTAAAGCTAACAGAACCCACGCCCAACATTTTTCAACATTCCTCACCATTTCTTTTTAAAAAAAAATAATTGCGATTTTCTGGAGACAGTGTCCGCGTGAGTGATTTATAGAGGTGAGTTTAATTTTGAAAAATATATATATTTATAAACTCCAGTTAATAATTGATCTTGATGTGGTAAAACATCCATGGTTTATGGAAAAAGATGTGATTTCTTTCCCATTTGACACATTGCATTCACGACACATTATACTTCCATATTTTCCACGTCATCAAATAGATTCCTTTAATGTCAGTGTCTGGTGCAAAGAACCACGTAAGCTCTACCCTAATCGGATCCTGTCTTTTTGTGTAGATACCAAAAGGGAAGAGATTTGCTCGCAACTCTCCAAATTTGCATCTTATACTCTACACATATATATATGTCCAAATAAAACATAATTTTTGTTGCAAAACAGTTATAACTATGACACAAGTGGGGAAAGTTTAAAAGGAAAAAACACCATCAACCTTTCCAAATTCTATTCAAAACATCAACTACTTATAAATGCAAATAAAACTTCTATTTTTTAAATAATAAAAAAAATCTTAACCAATACAAAATATCTATTTAAAACCTCAACCATCTAACAATTCAAATAAAACATACATATTTATTAAAAATAGATTAATTAAAAAAACTGTAATTTTTATTAATTTATATGTCTTATTTTCCCTTAAAACATTTTATCCCTCTTTGGTGAAAAATTATAAAATCACATATTTATCCATATGTGTGTGTGTATATTTGAGATATCAAATGATAAACTAATAAAATTATAGCCGACAATTGAAACGTATTGGGCTTTTAAATATATTAATAATATACAACTATCTACATATCCACAGATCCCACAAATATAAAAATAAAAATATCATTTCACTGTTTCAATCTTTAGATTGAAAAAAATATATATTTATTATATGAAATTGTTATTATTATAAATAAATTTTAGATTGACACAAACGAGAAATGGCAATAAATGGGCTTCATTAGTTAAGAACGTGTCATAATGGGCTTAAAAAGTGTGATTGGGCCTAATTAGAATAACGTGCTTTCGATTGGACAGCGCAAACTTAAAAGAATTCCTGAGTTTTGTTTTGTTCTAAAATATACCCAAAGAAAAGGAAAAAAGAAAATCACCCATGGAATAAACAAGGAATATATACATATATATGTGTGTGTGTGTGTGTGTGTATGTTTATGGTCCATGTGGTGGGGAAATGTTAATTTGAATTTTAAGAAAGTGTGAAGGATTTTGATTGTTAGAGGATGTTCTTGGGGGTTAAAATCATGAAATTGAGAATTGGGACGGGGACGGGACGTGATATGGAGTGAGCAGCGCCGCAGAGATGTTGAGTGGTCGACGAACGTGGAATCAGGCACGAGCACATGTCCCCTCTGCCCCTTTTCCCGAGTTTGAAGCGAATTGCGGAAATGTGAAATGGACCGACCGACAACTTCGGATGCCGCATCAGATTTGTGTTTCTACAATTCCCCATCTGTTGTTATCAAACACAGTACACACACATATACACACATATATATATATATTCATTTATTTATATGATATATATATATATATATTATATGAATATGGATATAGAG